TGCTAGCACTATTTATCAGGTGTAATTCTATTTATTATAGTGGAAATGGCTTTTAATTGGGGATATTGGTTGAATTATAATATGTATGGAGATTCATGTAAGTCACATTTGCTATACAATTCTACGACTCTTCAGATAAAGTAAAGCTCACCATTTATTTATCGTTAGCAACGTTTTTACTTTGCCTGGTTGCTGTGTTCAACGCCGGAAGAAATTCTATTTCATTCTTTATGTTGCTGATTGTTTGCATGGGATACGGTGTTGTCAAGTAGGAATCCCTTTTATAGATTTTTTAACCTTAATCAATTTAATACAATGAATTCAATCAGTAAATCCTCGTTTTTTTTGTTTTATAGACCATCTCTTGGTAGTACAATGATTAAATGTCGTATATTAACTTTGGCGCATTTTGTCTTTGGTGTTATCTATGCTGCTGGTACATTGCTTATAGATCCTGAAACTGCAAGTCCTCTAGTGTTTCTAGTTATTTTCCCTCTAGCTTTGACAATGACTACATTTTATGTCTGGACTCTTCAATCAATCACTAATACACTTCAAACTCTTGAAATTCGACGACAAACTGTCAAAGCTTTAATGTATAAACGACTATATAGACTTTTAGTTTTTTCAGTAACAGTTCTCGCTATCTTCTTTGTAATTAATATGTTCAATTACGTACATCGAGAAAATCCTGACTGGATACCAAATAACTGGCAAAAGACATGGTTTTTATTGGATGGATGGTTGAATGTTTTATATTTGATTGTGTTCTGTGTAATTCTTTTTATTTGGAGACCAACTGAAAACAACAAGAGATATCCTTTTTATTCTATTTTTAAATTTCGGTAAAATTCGATACACATATCTTTTATATCTTTATTTATCTTTAACTTAATTTTCATTTTACATTTGCGATGAGTGAGGAATTGATGCAAGATGACATTTTCGATGCGGAAAGAAATATTAGTCGCCTATCGGAAAGTCCTGTTTATGAGCAGGAAAAGTACGGAATTTCTGGTGGTGATCGCAGTGAAACCGAACGATTACACGATGATGATGGATCTGTAGTGTTTGATATAGGTGATGAAAATGATGAAAAATCAACTTTAAGAGAAAGTGGAGAAATTAGTAATGCAAGTCGTGAGATGTTGTCTAGGTATAGTATTAAAAATTTATTATGAAAATTTAGAATAATGATATTTATTATTATTATTGTTATTAGGCATAGTAATGAAGATGAGACTAGTAATTATCAGGATGCTACAGGAACAGATTAATTACATATTTAGTTTTTTCAATTAATGAACAAAGTCGAAAGATTTCATAATACCCTTCTGCATTTAAAAATAAATATGTAAAAAAAACATAAAATACAGTATAACGTTGAAGACATCTTTTTTTATACACCTTTTTATTAAACCCAATTCCCAAAGAACATAGTTTTTGATATTTTTTAAAACGTAATTTCTTCAATTAAATAAAATTTGAGATATTAATCCAATACAACGGGAATTGACACTCTGAATAGAATTTTATTTATTATTTAACAATATTATAATTATGTTTTTTTTTAAAAAAAGAATAAAAATAAATAAATAAATAAAAACATTCTGATTTTATTAAGAGTTAGCGTTCTTATGATTGGTTAATAATTCTACGGTTGTTCATGCCTAAAATGCGAAACAACGCTCATGAGCGTTATTTCGAAAATTGCACCCTTTAAAACATCATATTTGGGTTTAAAATAATGCTCAGGTGCGTCCCGAAATAACACCCATAGCACATATTACCGGATTTGATATATGTACATTAGGTTCAATTTTTGGTCTTTTATTACATGGCGTCTCGAAATAACGCGCAGGGGTGCGTTATTTCGCGACTATAAAAAAGTATCAATATGTAATTTTATTAACGCTATAAAACAACTATTAAAATAAACTCATTTTTTTGACTAACTTTTAAATAGTTTTACGGAGTTTTGACACTTGTTTATTTGTTTATCGGAATTATATGGATGGTGCTTAGCATAATTCATAGGCATGACCTCTTACCATTGCAGGTATAGACTTTATTTTTTATTTTATTTTTTTTTTGGCAATTTATGTTTACTTATACAATTTTGATGCTAGCACTATTTATCAGGTGTAATTCTATTTATTATAGTGGAAATGGCTTTTAATTGGGGATATTGGTTGAATTA